GTGGGCTGACTGACTAACGGTGCGCCGCGGGCGGCGGGCTGCGTCTCAAAGACGATCCCGAGGTCTCTGGGCTCCGGCACCGGCGGCCCCCTACATAGCCCCAGGGTGGGACGGTGGGGCTGGCGAAGGTCATCTGGCTAGGCGCCCAGTTGGACCCTGGCCTTGGAACTCTGCCCAGACCCTGCCCGGCAGCTGGGGGTGGGGGTTGACAGGGAGTAGGTTTTAGCCTCCCTGCGTTCAAATAATTTAAATAAAATAAAAACACTTCTCAGAGTCTCTAATTTTCGTACACTGGACACCCCTCTAGTTTGCGGCGTTTCTGGACCTGCAGAACCTTGATGTGATGAAAATCAACGCTTGTAAGATTCCTTTAAATCAGAGGGACCACTGGTTGGCTGCCCGCCCCCCCCCCCCACCGCCTTACTACTGAGTCATCTTTAAAACACTATTCTTGGTCCCAGCCAAATGTAAATTCTGACTGCCATCAACAATGTTTGAAGCCAGATTTTCCTTTCCAAAGAACTGCTAAACTGAGGTTAGCCATCTTTAGAGTTTGCATTCTCCCAGCTCATTAAAATATATGTCCCTCCTTTTTGGCTTAGGGAAGCAAAAATAATTTCAAGACAGGCCCAGCAGTGACAACTTGGAAAAGCAGCGAGATGTCTCAGGTAAAGTACAGGCGTCACTGAAGAAAGTACACAGGTCTGTGCATTACCTACCAGTGGTGCTTCTCAAAAAGTTCTGCCTGAAGGTAGTTTCAAAAATTAATTCATTGTCAGGTAATGTTAAGTAAATCCTTTGCTGTTTCAAGATATCCTTCCTCTCCCCATGAATGTGTTTTCTTAAAACAGCAGTAGCCTAGCAGTCTGTGGGTTAGGAACTTTCAAAACTGTCTTCTAACTGCAGATCAAGGTGAGCTATAGTTCTACATTGACTAGTTCCATGGTGCCCTATGGAATATATTTTGTTACTCTGATACTTCCCTTAGGGCTCAGCAGTGTTACAAACAGGCTCTCTAGAAGATGAGCAGAACCATAGTTTCCTGTGACACTAATTTACTAAAATATTTATGTATATATATATATATATATATCAGTAAATTCAAAAGTTTCTTGCAACTCATTTTCATAGTCATCTACAAAAGACTAGAATGTTTAAGTCATATGCAAATGGCTGCCAAAAAACTTCCCAAAACTCTGACTTGAGAACAAGATCTGAGGATCCAAATGTAATCACCTTCTCACTGTATTTGCTCTCCCTGGCTAGGAGGTTGCTACTTTCTATATGATCTTCCTTCCCCCGATGGGTGATAAGTGAGGACCTGGTACAATGGCATATCCAGTTAAGAAATGGCTACATGTGTATAGGTGGGATGATCAAAATTCCTCAAGTGCAGAGATACTGTCTCAGGTATGGGAATCTTTTCTAAATTTGTATTACTTTATAGACTAGTTTTCCACACATAACTCCCAAATTCAAAGTTCACACTGACATCTCCTGAGCTTCAAGAACAGAGAGGATGCTGTCCACTTTTGATCCCCAATAAAAAACAGAGTCCCAGACCCATACATCCAATCTCCTCTTTCTCTATGACCTTGCTGTGTGACCGCAGGTATGCTGTGTAATTTCTAGGTCTTATAAGGTTCTTAAAAGCTTCCTGATGGTTATTGTTGAAAGATGCCTTGCAGTCATAGCAAAAACCACAAGGATTGTTCCAGCCACAACATTGGTGATTAATCAGCTGAGACCAGCACACAACTGTGGCAGGTCAGTTTGGCTGTAGTTAGGTTGTCTTTGGGCACCCAGCCAGTAGGGCAGCCCTTATCTGCAACAGTGTTGGTCTTGTGGAAAAAGAAAAGCAATCTTAGTGAATCATATGCAGACTCTTATATTTCTGTTTGATCTGCTGGATCAGAAAAATTCAACTTCTCAAGTCTGATACCTGTACATGCCTGGAACCTATACGCGTGAGATCTACTGGGTCAGAAAATTCAGATGGCCAAGTCTGACATTCTTGAGGGATGGGATTAGAATCCTTCCCTGGGAAGGGCAGCAAAAATTTGTGAAAAATTGTCACCAGCCATATTACCTGCCGTAATCAAGGCTGGTCTAGATGAGGCGGCAAAGAGACAGTGTACAGGCGTTTATTTGACTGGGGAATTGATAATCATCTCTTCTCTCCTTAGGGCTCCCCAGGGAACTATATACATGGAGGAAATTAGAATAGAAACTCAAAGATCATTTTATTCATAGCTGAGCTAGCACCCAATAATCTCATAACAGAACTCTGCCAAAAGACTGTGTTGATTTTTATGATTTAGGTGTAGAGGTGATGTAAAGCTTCCTAATTCCCTGTTCCTCACCAGTACCCTATATTTTGGTGCCAGCATACACAGGCATGTCTACAGAGAGAGAGGGAACCAAAGTCAGATCAGCAAAGCATGCCAGCTGCACTGGTCTAAGTGTGTGCTGGTTGAGATTGCAGGGGGCCTGTGGGCAGGGAATGGGAGAAAAAGCAAAAAGTGGTTATGTGACCTGTCAACATGAAGTGTGCCCCAGTGGTAACCAGTGGACTCTGACCAACTTTTTCTCACGTCCAATAAGACAGTGAGGACAGGACAGAAGAGAAGAGAATTCTTTGCTTTGTTCTTGATTTTCATTTTGGATTCGCTCTGAACTCCATTAGGTAGAGGAGGAGAAAAATCTCTTGCCCAATAAAAGCATGTGCAGTGAGGTCAATACCTCTTAGTCTAGACTGTAAGTCTAGCAAGAAAAGGGCCAATATACCTTGAAAGTGGTAGGGACTCAGGTATCCACTGATAACAGTAATGACTATCATTTAAGAGACATCATTGCAATTTCAATTGACAAAACTGCTAAATTACAGATGTACTAGGGTTTTGTAACTTGGGATCCTGGGGCTATATTTCTTGTCTTATTTCCAACCTTCTCTCTATATATTGGCACAAATGGATCTAGGCTGGTTCTGGACAGTAGAAAGTGAGTCTTCATAAATATTACATATGACCCCAAGTAGATGGATGTGCCAACTATATAAAAGGTCAAAATTCAATTGACCTCAATAAATTAGAGAAGTGGTCATCAATAGCAGGTTAAAATGCATGAGAATGAATGGAAAGGAGTACATCTAAGTAGCAAAAGAAGCATCACACACATAGAGATTCAAGAAAAAATTCGCCCTGCAGAAATATGGCCAAGAAAGACCAGCTGGTGTGGAAAACCAATACAGAGTGAATGGGAAAATTGTGGAGTATATTAACAGAAGTTTATGAGGCCAAATCCATCTTCATATTCCTGGGACCTAGCATGGTGCCTGGCATACTGTGAATGCTGATTTTTTTTTTTTTAAAGTATGATTTTGGCTTTGGTCAGATTGTCCATGCTGTTACCTTTCTCTGAAGAGCCTTTGTGTAACCAGCTCCTAGCCCCTCTCCAAGACCCCATGATCATGAGGGTGGTTTTCCCAGGGTGAGGTTTAGCCATTGCACTCTGGATGTGCTGACCCATGTGACTGCCCCAAATGTGGGAAACTCAGCTGCATAATTTGTGATGGTGGAGGCCTGCATTTATGTTCTTCCCAGAAAAAAAAAGGCTCCTCTAAAATTCAACTCCTTCTAGTTGCTTTCCTAGAATTCATCTACTCTCAGCTACCAGAAAGCTCTTTATTTTGGAATCCTCATAAACAATTAATAACTGCTAATGATTATTATTGCAGAAATGGGCACTCAGTACTCAGTGAGTGAATGATAACTCTCCAATTATGACAAACCAGTATGCGAGTTTCAAAAGTGTAGAATGAATGACTAGATGAAGGTGTCTGAAATTGTAGAATTGTCTATCATTGGCACTAACTCATTTTCCTTGGTCAAGAAAGTTTCTTCTACATAAGAAACTATGTATAGATGCTCTGTGTGATCTAGATGTAGATTTGCCTTCATCCTCTAACTCCAGCTCACATCCCTTATGCCCTCTTGTGCCAGGGTCTTAGTGAACATGTCCGAATGGACTAAAGGGGCAACATGATTTATATCATGTGGACAGCTGTAACTCACCTGAAAATCCTCCTAAGACACATTTTTTTTAAGATTTATTTATTTATGCATACAGAACTGGGGTACAGGCCAGAGGCTCAGGGGCAGCGAGAGGCTTCACCAGGGACAGAGTGGGGAGCAGAACAGGCAGATCGACTAAGTACACTGCTGAGGGGAGCAGCGGGCGGGTCAGGAGAGGTCTGCCATACCATGTGGTCACCTCCGGAGCAGGCGGGAATCGAACTCATGCGGAAGTGGCTTTAGCTTCTCAGTGCAGTGCTTCATCCCGCTGTGCCACCAGGGAGGGCCAAGACACATGTTTTTTTAAAATGCTCTCTGTCTATGCTTCTGCCACTAACCTTCCCAGCCTACTTCCCCTCAATCCTGCCATTCTCTCTTCCCCAACCCAAAGCTCCAAGCCATTCTCCCCCTAACCTTTCATTATTCCCAGGAATGCCTTTTACCCCAGCTTCTACTTCCAAACTTGCATTGCTGACAAATGACTGTAATTAGCAAGACA